AATAAAATAAAAAAAATATAGCTGTCATCCGAAATTCAAACTTTGAAAAGAATAGAAAAGAATAAAACAGATTAGAAAAGAATATAAAAGAACAAAATAGAAAATAAAGGAATAGAGTAGAAAATAATAGAATAGAATAGAAAAAATAGAATAGAATATTTTCGAAAAGAATAGAAGAGAATAAAACAGAATAGAATATAACATTTTAGAATAGAATAAAAAAGAATAGAAACTAAAATAGAAAAAAAATAGAATAGATTAGAATAAAATAGAAAGAATATAGCTGTCATCCGAAATTCAAACTTTGAAAAGAATAGAATAAAACAGATTAGAAAAGAATATAAAAGAACAGAATAGTAAATAAAGGAATAGAGTAGAAAAATAATAGAATAGAATAGAAAAAATAGAATAGAATAAACGCAGTCATCTTTTGAATAGAAAAAATTTTATATAGCCATCTTTCGAAATTGGAATTTTAAATAGAATAGAATGAAATAAAAAGAATATAGCCGTCTTCTGAAATTCAAATTTCGAAAAGCATAGAACAGAAAAGAAGAGAATAAAAAAACAGAATAGAATAGAAAAAATAGAATGGCTTAGAATAAAATAGATTAGATAAAAATAGAAAGAACATAGCCGTCTTCCGAAATTCTAATTTTGAAAAGAACAGAATAAAATAAAATAGAATAAAACAGAAAATAAAGGAATAGAATAGAAAAAAAAATAAATAGAATAGAAAAAAAAATATAGAATAGAAATTCAAATTTCGAATAGAAAAGAACCAGCTACTCATCGCAATGAATTCGGATCAATTTGCTATTTTCAATTCAAATTGGATTTCAATCCGTGGGGAAAATCTGAACCCGGTTGAAAAAGAACAAACTAAAGACAACTAAAGTTCGTTAGGAATGCAACAAAACAAAATCATCAAATTAACTAAACAAATGTTTTTGTTCTGCACGTGTCTAGTAGCCAATCAGCTTTTGCGATGAAGTGTTGACAATAGAACCTGGAAGCGGATTGGATGCCACCAGATTCTGCACCCTCCAGCTTTAGTAAATCCCGCCCCCAGTGTGCAGTTATGACCAGTGATGGACGAACGTGCTCGGGTTCAAGTTTGCAAAAATATCTCAATCTGCAAATGTTAATGCAAACCGAACAGGGGCGGACTAACCATTTGGAAACTCGGCACTGCCCGAAGGGTCAGTAGGGGGCCCCATGAGATGCCCCTGGTTCCCTTTTGATAGGCTTTTTTGAGTTTGGGCAAGGACACAGGGGCCCCATGATCCCCTATTGCCCGGGGGCCCCATGAGTTGTCAGTCCATCCCTGGAACCGAATGAAAGTTATTACCACCAGATGAGCCCGGCTTGGGGCTCATTGAGAGGATGCCGGCTGCTGTAATTGGGCTTGTTGGGGAAATACTGGATGATGTCATTGACCAAATATGGCCATATTTGGTCAATGGTGTCAGCCAACATCTCTGGCCCCCTTTATTTACGTTCGGCTCTTGGCAGGGGAATCTCCCTGCCGGCAGATAGGAAGAGTCAGGGATACGTCATTGGTTGTGATGTCGCAAATCCAAACCCTATCCCTAGTTCTGAATCGGGATCAAATCCGATCTCCCAGGATTCCACGGTGCTTCTCCTTTCCGCATGAGCTCTGCGTTCACTCGAGGAGGAATTGCCCAAAGTTTGAACTCAAGTTTTATGGAACAGTTTCTTGGGGGGTTTTTTTAAGATATAATGTTCTGCCCGGGTCATCTTCATGTCGGATGTCTTCATAGGACTGGTGTTCATTTTGTGTTTATTGTCCAACCTGAGCTTTGCGATGGCGTTGAACCCCTTTTTCCCATTTGGGGAGATAGAAGAGATCCATGCTGTAGCATGCCAGTGTCCAAAGATCAGGATGGAGCTTGTCCATGCTCCCCATAAAAGGCTGAATCCCAAAGACCGGCTGCACGCTGATGATGTCAGAATTTCATATGTGCTCAGTGGACATCCCGCCTGGGACCTCCCCCAAGCTGATACATTTCAGCCTAGGGACAGGCTTAGTCAGAGATCCTACAGCAGGGTTTCTCAACCAGGGTTCCATGGAGCCCTAGGGTTCCTACAGAGGTTGCTAGGGGTTCCTAGAGCAACGAGCAATATCCGTCTTTCAGATAGGTTCCCGTTGACCAGGGGCAAACAAGGCACTTGTCTAGGACAGCATTTTTCAGGGGGGCAGCACCTCCCCTCAAAAGAAGGGATGTAAGAAGAGACGCGCCATGGGAAGCAGGTGGGATCCAAGAGAGGCTGCAGGCTGCTTGATGGTGTATGTAGAGCCTGACTCTCGTTCCCAGGGATGTCTGGAGCTTTGAAGATGAGTGTATATTTCTCTATCGCCGGGAGGGGTAGTGGAAGGCTCTCCCGAGTGGGGGGCAGGGGTGTTGTTGGTCAATGGCAGGCTCTCTCCATGGGAGGGTGGAAGGGGGAGTGTTGGTCGGTTTCTGTTGGGGCCTAGGGCAGCACAAAACCTAAATACACCCCTGCGTTGACACCATTCATATTTTTAGCAATCTATAAGGGGATAGTTCTTCTCAATGACCACAAGTGTAAGGAACGTTCTTCCCACCGACCATCACAAGAATGTATCATGAGCTGTAGGTACAGTCATTTTTAGCAGGGGTTCCCCTAGAACGAAAAGTAATTTCAAGGGTTCCTCTGTGTTGAAAAGGTTGAGAAAGGCTGTCCTAGAGACTAAGCCTGTGTATTGGTGCCCCTGGGCTCACTCAAGGCACAGAGTCTAAATATCAGTTGGTCTTCACCAGAGCTCCTAATGTTGGAGATGGTCTGGATACCCTAGTGGTCCTCAGTCCAGGCAGGAGACGTGGCAGGTTGCAGACATTAAAGTAGTCTAGTCCAGGCAGAGGTTGTGGCAGGTGGCAGGCAAGAGAGTAGTCAGGTCCAAGCAGGGATCATGACAAGCGCCATTCAAGAGAGAGGTCCAGTCCAGACAGGGGTCATAAAGAAAACAAACAGAGGGCGCATCGGCCTGGTGCATTACCTTAAAACACATTTTTATTCTATATTCTCACAATAGGAACCCTGAACCTCCAAAAGGCTAATGCATTTCGAGGACTTGCCTTTTCCTCAGAGCCAGTCCACCATGCATAGCTTCTCACAATAGGATCCCTGGACCTCCAACAGGCTAACGTGTTTCAAGGACTTGCCTTTTCCTCAGAGCCAGTCCACCATGCATAGCTTCTCACAATAGGATCCCTGGACCTCCAACAGGTTAACGTGTTTCTAGGACTTGCCTTTTCCCCAGAGCCAGTCCACGATGCATAGCTTCTCACAATAGGATCCCTGGACCTCCAGCAGGCTAACGTGTTTCAAGGACTTGCCTCTTCCTCAGAGCCAGTCCACCATGCATAGCTTCTCACAATAGGATCCCTGGACCTCCAACAGGCTAATGCATTTTGAGGACTTGCCTTTTCCTCAGAGCCAGTCCACCATGCATAGCTTCTCACAGTAGGGACCCTGGACCTCCAACAGGCTAACACGTTTTGAGGACTTGCCTCTTCCTCAGAGCCAGCCAGGTCAAGGAAGGCAGCAAGCAATGAGTAGTCAGGTCCAGGCAGGAGTCAAAGAGGGTGGCAGGCATAAGAGTAGTCAGGTCCAGGCAGGAGTCAAGGCAGGTGGCAGGCAAAATAATGGTCAGGTCCAGACAGGGGACATGCTAGGCAATAGGCAAGAAAGTATTCAGGTCTAGGCAGGGGTCAAGGAAGGAGTTGGAAAAGGGAGTAGTCTGGCCCAGGCAAGGGTGGAGGTAGATGGCAGGCAAGAGACTGGTTGGCTCCAGGCAGTGGTTATGCTAGGTGACAGACAAGAGATTAGTGAGGCCCAGGCAGGGGTCAAGGAAGGTGGCAAAGAAGAGAGTAGTCAGGTCTAGGCAGGGGGTTAAAGAAAGTGGCAGAAAAGAGTAGTCAAGTCCAGGCAGGGGTCAAAGAGGGTGGCAGGCATATGAGTAGTCAGGTCAAGGCAGGAGTCATGGCAGGTGGCAGGCAAGACAGTAGTCAAGTCCAGACAGTGATGCTGCCAGGTGGCAGGCAAGAGAGTGGTCAGGTCCAAGCAGGGGCCATGCCAGGCAGCAGGCAAGAGAGTATTCAGGTCTAGGCAGGGGTCAATTAAGGCATCAGAAAAGGGAGTAGTCTGGTCCAAGCAGGGGTGGAGGTAGGTGGCAGACAAGAGACTGGTCAGGTCCAGGCAGGGGTACTGCAAGGTGGCAGACAAGGGATTAGTCAGGTCCAGGCAGGGGGTCTAAAAAGGTGACAGAAAAGAGAGTAGTCAAGTCCATACAGGGGTCGAGGAGGGTGGTGGGCAAGAGAGTAGTCAGGTCCATGCAAGGATCAAGGAACACAGCAGGCAAGAGGCAGGGGTCATACCAGGCGATAGGCAAGAGAATAGTCAGGTCCATGCAAGGGTCAAGGAAGATGACAGGAAAGAGAGTCACCAAGTCCAGGCAGGGGTCATACCAGGCGACAAGCAAGAGAATACTCAGGTCCAGGCAGGTGTCATACCACGCGACAGGCAAGAGAATACTCAGGTCCAGGCAGGTGTCAAGCTAGGTGGCAGGCAAGAGAATACTCAGGTCCAGGCAGGTGTCAAGCTAGGTGGAAGGCAAGAGAGTAGTCAGGTCATTCCAAGTCAGCAAAAAACTGTGCACAACCGGGACAATAGCGTTTTATGCAAATGTTGGTCTCATCAGTTTGTGGCTGGTCTTTGTGATTCCATTCCACACCTGCTGTGTGCCCACCATGATACTCTGGGTAATAAACAGGTTACAAATCCTCAGTGTGGTGAGTACTCAGCCCAAGTTGGGGGCCACTGATCCTCAGTGTGGGGTTTTTAGGTCTCAGCTAAGGGTACTAATCTTCGTTTCGGGTAGTACTCAGCCTCAGTTTGGGGGTTGCTTATGCTCGCTGTGGGGAATACTCACTCTCAAAGGTTTGTTTCTCAATATTCCTTCTCTTTCTATTTGTAGGTCTCTTCCAGAAAGCCATTGCACAGAGTGGTACAGCCATAGCTAGCTGGTCCGTCAACTATGAACCCCTGAAGTACACTCGTATGTTGGCGGCCAAGGTGGGATGTGACTACCCAGACAACAATGAGATGGTCAGCTGCCTCAGGCGGAAGCCGTACAGAGACCTGGTGGACCAGGACATCCAGCCAGCTCGATACCACATCGCCTTTGGTCCTGTTGTGGATGGAGACGTAGTTCCAGATGATCCAGAGATTTTGATGGAACAAGGAGAGTTTCTTAACTACGATATACTGATGGGGGTGAACCAAGGAGAGGGCCTCAAATTTGTAGAAGACACATTGGAGAGTGAGGACGGAATATCCGCCAGCTACTTTGACTTCACAGTGTCCAATTTTGTGGACAACCTCTATGGCTATCCAGATGGAAAAGACGTGCTACGTGAAACCATCAAATTCATGTACACTGACTGGGCTGATCGCGACAATGGCGACATGAGGAGGAAGACCCTGCTAGCCCTTTTTACAGACCATCAGTGGGTGGCACCGGCTGTGGCAACAGCTCGCTTCCACGCTGAATACGAATCTCCTGTTTTCTTCTATGCCTTTTACCATCGTTGCCAGGCAGAGGGGAGGCCGGAATGGGGCGAGGCAGCCCATGGTGATGAAGTGCCGTATGTCTTTGGTGTTCCCATGGTGGGGGCTACTGACCTGTTCCCCTGTAACTTCTCCAAGAACGACGTCATGCTGAGTGCTGTGGTCATGACCTATTGGACCAACTTTGCTAAGACTGGGTGAGAGCTGTTTTCTTTGGTAGCTTCACACTGACCCTTTATTTTCTATCTGTTGCATGTATCCATTGTAAGATGAGGTCCAAACGTTACCCTTCACTGTCCACACAATGAAAGATGAGGTCCACAAGTTACCCCTTGCTCTCCACACAATGGAAGATGAGGTCCACAAGTTACCTCTTTGACTTCACACAATGAAAGATGAGGTCCATAAGTTACCCCTTGATCTTCACACAATGAAAGATGAGGTCTGCAAGTCACCCCTTTGTCTTCACACTATGAAAGATGAGGTTCATGAGTTACCCCTTGCTCTCCACACAATGAAAGATGAGGTCCACAAGTTACCCCTTGCTCTCCACACATTGGAAGATGAGGTCCGCAAGTCACCCCTTTGTCTTCACACAATGAAAGATGAGGTCCATAAGTTACCCCTTTCTCTCCACACAATGAAATATGAGGTCCACAAGTTACCCCTTTATCTCCAAACAACGAAAAATGAGGTCCACAAGTTACCCCTTGCTCTCCACACATTGAAAGCTGAGGTTCACAAGTTACCCTTTGCTCTCCATGCATTGAAAGATGAGGTCCATAAGTTACCCCTTGCTCTCCATGCATTGAAAAATGAGGTCCACAAGTTACCGCTTACTCTCCATGCATTGAAAGATGAGGTCCACAAGTTACCCCTTGCTCTCCACACAATGAAAGATGAGGTCCACAAGTTACCCCTTGCTCTCCACACATTGGAAGATGAGGTCCACAAGTTACCCCTGCTCTCCCACACAATGAAAGATGAGCTCCACAAGTTACCCCTTGCTCTCCACACATTGGAAGATGAGGTCCATAAGTTACCCCTTGCTCTCCACACATTGGAAGACGAGGTCCACAAGTTACCCTTTGCTCTGCACACAATGAAAGATGAGGTCCACAAGTTACCCCTTGCTCTCCACACATGTACATCCCAAATTACAAAGATTTAAATAGAAAGCCCAGCCACAGCTTGGTGGGATTTCGTAATGAGTTGGAGCCATGCAAGTGTGGGAAGGGAAGATTGTAGAGAGGCACTGTGTGGTGCTGAGCAGGCTACACAATGAAGTACTGTCAGTACTCAGTCTTAGCTTAGATGGGGGAGGGGTTTAATCCTGATTGTGGGGGTACCTAGCCATAGTTGTGATGGGCTACTAACCCTCAGTGTGCGAGTACCTCTGGGGGGTACTAATCCTCATTGGGGGGGAATACTTACCCTCAATATGGGACATGGGTTACTCAGTTAAAAGGGCACTAACCTTCAATGTGGGAAGTACCAGTCTTTCGTGTGGGTGATAGGTGCAGTTGAGAGGTTACTAATACTCAGTGTGGGGAGTACTCATCCCCAGTTGGGGTTAACTCAACGTGGAGAGCACTCGGCCTCAGTTGAGGGTGTACTCATTTTCACAATGGGCTATTTTTGGGAAAGGCTACTAATCCTTAGCGTGGGGGTACCAAGTCTCAGCTGGGGTGTACTAATCCTCAATGTGGGGAGTACTCAGCCTTAGTTTGGGGGTTACTATTGCTCACTGTGGAGAGTACTCACTCTCAATGGTGAGGGTTACTTAGCCTCAGTTAAAAGCGTACTAACCTTCAATGTGTTGGTATTCAGCCTCATTTGGAGGAGGGTACTAATACCCAGTGGTGGGGTACTCATTCTCAGTGGGAAGGGGAGGGGACTTATCCTCAGCAGTCGTGATTTATAGCCTTTGTTGGTGTGACGATCGCGACGTCAGACCCCAGCCCTTCTCACCAAACTCTCGCGACCGAAGGACTAGCCAATATAAAACTACGATGTCACGTGCGTAACAATGCCCCACCCAGCTGCACCCTGCACAATGATTTTCCAGCTAATGGACCACAATCGATGTACCGGCAGCCTGAGTGCGATTGTTACTGGGTCAGGTTAATTACGCACTTAACCCTTCACACTGCCACCACCTCCTTTTTGTACAGAGAAAGAGGAAATTTGGCAATATCAGCAATAACACTAGGATGATTGGATAATCGTTTGTATACCACTGTCACCGCACACAGGTTATACAGAGGGTTAAACACACATAGTAGCGCTCTTCAGCGGCAGGAATTCGTAATTTGCATTAAAGAGCTTTAGAAACAGTTCAACACTTTCAGAAAGTAAGATTTATTACTAACAGGTCAAAAGGGTGCAATAAAAATATTTACAGAAAAAGATGTAGCCAATATATATATAAATATAAAGAGAACAACAGCACAGCAAGAGATAACAGAAAGGAATTTAGAGGGTTAAAGTACTTGCCAGTCAGCCTTGGTGTAAGCAGCTTCAAGTTTCATAAGTCAAAAGGATTTCTTGTCTCCACTGTCAGTTTCAATGTTAACACAGGAGACTCTTCTTTTCTCTCTCACACACCCTACTCCAAGCATAACAGCCTTTTTCTATGATCTCAGCAGGGTGTCTCCTTACAGCAGAGAGCCAATTGCCTCATTTGGGGAGGGGTGTTGGGGCGGAGACCCAAGCTAGAACGAAAATCCCTCTTAGCTTATATTATGGCCCATAACTTTTCCTCGGGGTATTTAGCAGCCGTGCCACTAGTAGTTTAATATGCAGACGCATCTGCAGAACGGTTAGATATGAAATATTCACGTGAATGGTTCGGGAGATATAATTTTCTGCTTTTCTATATATGCCAGCTAAGGGGTGTGACCTATCAGGAATCTTGTATCAAAGTGACCAATCGGAATATATGCCTGGTTTTTCTTTAAGTCCCTCATATTCCAAGATATGAAATCATAGGGAAAAATGGATGTTGGATGTGGTGTCTTGTTTTATGCCTTCTCTGGAATGTCTTTGAACTCCTGTGAAGGGCTTGGTTTACGCTTTTACGATATCCCAGATTGCACAGCTCACAGACAGCTAGGCACCTAACTAGTGAGGTTTTATTGACAGGACGCCCTCCCACTGACTTTGGTGCCTGTGATCTCTGCAAACACACACCGACCACATGTCACTCAACAGAAAGGGAGGGGGATGATTGGAGGAGAAAGCCTGATTTGCGAGGGAGAGAGGTGAGACAACATGGAAAATTCTTAACAAAATGGAAATCCGTGTCCATCTCTGTGGGCACAATTGCTACAGTTGGGGGTATTAATCATAAGTAGTGGGAGTATTCAGGGGTACTAATCATCAGTAGTGGGCATACTCAGCCTTTGTAGGGGGAGGGGTACTAATCACTAGTAGTGGGGTCACTAATATTCAGTGTGGGAGTACTAATCCTTGGGTGGGGTTGCAATGTAGCATTTTAGGTCCATGACCGACCCGCCACCAGCCTGTGATTGGACAAAAAAAGCAAATACAGAAGATTGATGAGCTCCTCTCTCTGGTCTCTCCTACAGTCAGCATGGTCTTTGTTAGTACATGAGCTTTGTAGCACAGCTAATTGTGCTGCTTCTCCCTCCCCTGGTCTGAGCCCTCCTGTACAGGGACTGCAAGAGGCTGATACCAAGCACAAACCTATTAGTGATCACAAAGCTCGATCGATGTGTCTTTTTACAATTTCCTGGAGTTCAGTTTGCATGTCCTCTTTTCATATACTGTATGTACAATACGCAAATCTTTATTGAATACTTTAACCCATCCACACTGGTCCCTCAATGGAGCTTGCAGCCTATTACAGTGGTCTCCAAACTGCGGCTTGGGGGCCAGATGCAGCCCTTTGTTTGCCTCTATCTGTCCCTTGGACACCAACAATGGGGCACGAATCCTTCTACTGACACCAACAATGGGGCACCATTCTTTCTACTGACACCAATGATGGGGCACTAATCCTTCTACTGACACCAATGATGGGGCACTATTCCTTCTACTGACACCAATGATGGGGCACTATTTCCCTGAGATCGACTGTAGCACTTCCCTCTTGAAGGCCGCTGATTTGGTTTTGGGTTTCCCCTAAGCTCTGCATGGTCAGGCAAAACACATTTTCCACACTTGCACACTTGCAGTCAGCAAACAGTCCTTGAGATGGTTTTTTAGTTTGTTTTTTTTTTAAGGGGTTAACAACTTGGATGGGGTCTAGGGGTATATGGGATGCCCAAGGAACTGCAAACTTGAGGACAAAGTCCTTAGCAAAAATAACAGCTGTCTTTGTTAAGTCCCCTTGGTGTACCTCCTCAGACCCCAGATGAATCATCCTCTTCACCCGGCTGTACTGAGGGTATCCCTGGGCAAGGGATTCCAAGATCTAGCAGTTAAGTAGTGCCAGATGAAAACTAGTTGGGTCTTGTACCTGACCACCCTCTCCCTTTCTCTGGCCTAGGGGGAGTAGAAGTACTCACACTGTCCTGTCCTGTCAGCATGGTGGGTTGGTAGCTGCTTTTCAGGCCTTCCGCTGGGCTGGATGCTTCCCTACTGCTCAGGATGTCCACCCTAAGAGACGGTGGAACAGTGAAGATTCTCCTATCCAGCAACCAGCCTGTAGTTGGGCTCCCTTCCCTGGGGCCCCCTCCCAGGCTCCGCACTGAAGCCTTCTCTCAATCCATCTTCCACCTGACTCCCCTGTTCTTCAGGCTTTTCCACATTTATGGGTTGTCCTTGGTCACCATGCCTGGCCTCCTGCCTGGGGATTGGCCAAGGTTCCTCAAACATGCAGATCTGAGCCTCCTCCCCTCCTCCACCTCTCTTTCAGAAAGTTCTCTCTGTTTTTGGAAGGTTGTTAGGGCTCCAGAAGCCCTGACCTGAGAAGCCCCCCAGCCTGTCCTGAGGTGAACTCACTACCTCACTCCCAGGCTGACTTATCCGAAGCTTCTACCCACCCTCTAACTACAAAACAACATACCTACCTACCTAGAGGGCCTACACGAAGATTGGCACTATTCCTCTTTTTGCTACAAGGGGCTATTCCTCAGACTGACACCATCAATGGAGCATCATTCCTCCCATTAACACCAGTGATAAGGGAATATTCTTTCCCCTGATACCTACAAATGGAACTATTCCTCCC